GCAAAAGTAATGGATCACTTGAGCACTAATGTAAACTTTGACCATGAATTTGATATGAAATTCCATGTGCTTGCAGGTAGAGGTGGTGTTTGGTGCCACAGCAGCAGCTGAAGAAGCCAGTTGAGTGTTAAAATGGTGATAAACAAAATGGTGTGCACAAAGTAGACTTGCTACTGGAAATTAGTCCTGTGTTGGCAGAAAGGGTCTCCTTGTTTCCCTGCTTAGTCCTTACATCAAACTTTGGCCTTTTGAATTGAGGTGATTTCTCCTCCTTTGAAGAATTTAGCTCTTTAAGGTAGTGACTGAACTTTGGATAATTGGCTTGCAGTTCTTTCCCACTTACTGCCTTTGTCTAGTGTTCATGTAAAATAACTAATTTCCTGCATATTGGCATTCTGAAATTTTGGAAGGAGATCAGCAATGAGGTTCAGACTGTCTGTCTTTCACTTGAACCATTTTTATGTATGGGAAGTTCTATGCTAACATATGTGTGTGACTACTGAAATGCAAATGCTGAGGATAAAACTCGAGCATCAGTGGAATGCAAGATGGGCTTTTCTGAAAGTCAGCTGAAACAGCTGAGCCATCAGTTGCATTTACATATTTTAATCTGGTTTATAGATTTGCAAATTATGTAGGTTTCAAAATGAGTTAATCACTTTATTAGAAATGTAAATGTAGTGAAGAGAGGATTGGTGTGGTCATATGGGATGTTGTCTGGTGCTCAAGTGCTTGTGTGCTGTGACTTCTGACCGTGTGTGTGCAGGTGCCAAGAGACCAGAGGTACCTGTGTGTTGTGTGTTGGCTTTGGCTGTGTGCCTGGGGAAGTGGGAGGGCTCTCAGGAGTGAAGGCAGGAGGGGCAGGCTCATGAAATAATCAGCTCAGCCTGTGGTACTTGTGACTGGTTTAGGTGTTCAGTTAAAGCAGCACAGGATGTGTCTCGGTGACTAATTTATGAAGGCAAGTGCTGGTTTGCTGGAAAATGGTAATTTAAAAGGTCATGAGAACAGATAAATGAATATGATGCCCTTTACCTAAATTTTCATGTGAAAATATGTCAGGAAAGGATCTGTAGGAATAGACAACAGTTGTATTTAAAGATAATGATACTTGAGAATGTTTGGAGAAAACACTGAGTGCGAATAGCAGTCCTGGGGAACAAGGTGTGACAGGTTTCAGTGTTACATCACTGTGCAAATGCTGTGGGGTGTTCTGTGCAGCTAAAGCAGTGAACAAACCTCCTCAGGATAAGGCAGCATTTGGTTAGTTCTTCCTTGCAATATTTCCAAATCATGGACAGAGGGACTGGTGCATCATAGCTGATTTCTGGCTGGTTGGTGTCCTTGGGTGCATCACTTTTACCAGTACTGTGTCTTATTCCGGGTGGTAACAGAGCATCCATACCTTGACTGGAAACTTCTCTGAAACCTGCAAGCTTCCTACTGTCCTTTATGATCTGATCTTGTGTTAATTCAAGCTAAGAACATAGTTTCTTTATCTATTGAAGATGGATCCAGATGGCTTTGTCCCAGGCAAGCTGGTAAATATAGATCACCTTAGCAGCTTGGTGTTGGGTTTCTAAGTCCGTGAATTTTCCCTTGAAGCTGGGACTAGCTCCAGGAACTTATCAAAGATTTAAACACAGTTTAAATTTAGATATTAAAGCACAAAATTGCGTAGTTTTTTTTTAAATTTGACGTGTTGTTGGCTATGTTAGAATGCTGGAATGCAATGAGTGCCTAACATAAAAGGCAGCACATCAGAGGTGAGTTTCAGCATTGATGTGCTCTTTGTATTAATCCAGGAGATAGCAGCATAAAAGCAAATGCTTTAGCTTTATCTACATCTTCCTCATTAGTTTTTCAGTTTAACTTTTAGTCCTTGAAGACTAATAATTTGCAGACATTTAACCTTACTAGGAAGAGTTTTATAGTAAAGGAATTAACGTAATAGTAATAATACTTTGCATGTAAAGTCCTACAAGAATATCCTTGTTAAATGTAGTGTGTGATTACAGAGCTTGGGCTTAGGCAAGGAAAAGTAATAACTCTTGAAGCTGTGGTTGTTTTGAAGGTTTGTTTCATTTTGGTTTTAGGGTATTTTTTTGGATGTTGATATAGGGTTACATTTAGCCACATTTAATGGTACTGCCCAGGAGTTAATATGGTAGGAGGCATTTGTTAAAGGATAATACTTCTTGTTAAGGGTTAACCTGACTTCTTTACTCCTTTTAAGAAAACAAGGAGCTAATTTTTAAAAAAATAGAAACTTTAATTCATACACTGAATTATTCAAAGTATAGAAAATATAGAAAAGTTTCAAAAATCTTACAGTATTAGTAATAAAAATAAAGAAAGAGTTAAGTGGAGCTGATAACTAAAAAGAATAAGTGAAGACTTGGTATTGAATAGTGTTTATATATGATTATTGCTCTTCCCTGAATCCAGTCCAAGTTTTAGTTTCTAAGTCACAAAATTACATGTCTACAAAACATCAGAATAATTTGATGATGGCTGAGTGAGAGCAAGTATCTACTGGAAGAAATTGTAACTGATATTATTCTGATCTATGGAATGTGAAAGTGAAAAATAGTGGTTTAAAAAAAAATAAGTGTGAAGGGTTTGTTCTCTATCAAAGGAAACTGCTGTGTGTGAAGAGTGATGGAAGCCAAGTGACAGCCCTGAAAACATCATTAACAGAGTCCTCATCTATTCAAATTCATTTTTTATATTTACAGCATGAAAAAGTATACAATTATATAAAGCCAATTCCTTTTGATTTCATTTTTTAGTCTATCCATAGCTGTTCTGGGAATTTATTATGGGAAATGTTAGAAAACAAAGTTAGCACATTGAAGGAAAAAGGGCAAAACATTCTTCAGTTTGAGGCAATACATTGCTCAGTTATTACAGAGATGTTTTTGGACAACCATTTTAATTAGTCTCTAACTGCATTCTTGGACCCCAAGACTTATAGTCAGTGACTTTCCCCCACATATCAGGAATTGATTAAACACAGTACAGGCCCAAGTCTGAAGCAGTGAGTGGCTGTGGGCTTAGCCTGCTTTGAGCATGTCCCAGCTGTAACCTGCAGTGTATCCCAGAGTGTTATGGATGTGTGGCCTTCTCTTACAAACCTGCAGCAGCATTCACAGTGATTTGAGTCTCTATTGCTCCCACTTCTTCCTGCTGCCATTATCAGTATTAGAACTCCCTGTAACTTTGTGATCATTGTTTGTTAGAGATGAAATTAATTTAATTATCCAAATGTGATCTTTTCAGATCCGTTTTAGATCTGGAGTGAATCTATTTTTCTTTTAATATTACGCTTGTTCAAAAGCTAAAATATCTTGTAAAAGGATCTCTTTATCAAGATTGGCTGTATTAAAAAAACTGAAAGCACTTTATGATGGACAGCTGATAATATGGTCACTTAGTAATGAGCTGATAGTATGGTCACAATCTCCTGCAAATATAAAACTAGCAAGAGCTTAAAATGAGCTGTTGGCAAAATTTAGTTAGTATTTAAGACCTTTATGAATGATACCACCACTTCACCCCATCTGATAGTATTTCCTAGTTGAAACATTGTTAACTGGGAGCCAAAGTAGCTTAAGCTGAGTATCAGAGAACCCTGAGGTTGAGCTGTCTTTGCTCAAAGTGCCCACTTGTACATCCTGCCAGCTGTAAGCAGCTCACAGTCAGAGGGCAGCAAAAGCATTGAGTCCAGTTACATTGCCTCATGTTGAGGCCAGGAGGATCTGTTCAGACTTTTTGTGCAGGGTGGCAAGTTGTAATCCTCAGTCCCTAAGTGTTTCAGTAGTGGATGAACAGGTATATTCTTTCTTGTGACTTATGCTTTGAAACACATTTACCAGTGTTATCACCGGCAGCAGTGTTAGTGGAAGTTCTTTGAAGTGATCTGTTTGCAAAAAAATCATTTACATATTGCAAATATTTTGTGTTCTAGCCTTGAAGACTTTTGAACAAAACATTTACTTGAAACATTTTCCAGAAGTGTTTAATATGCTAAATAAATTCTAATCAGTTCTCTATGGTAAAGTTCGCACTATGTGTTCACTTAAGTATTTGAACTTCTTAGTTCAGTTGTCTGTTTGTTTGTGTTTCCTTTCTCCTTGGTATATCCTTCTGAATTCACACAGGAATAGATATTTTAGGCTTGAACAATATATCAAGTATAGCTGAAGGACATTTCATAGTTCTCCCTCGCAATCCCAGGGATGTCAGATTTTCTGAAATGCTAACTTGCTGAAAAACTGCTGATTTATTACTGTTTGACACAAAAGTCTGAAAAACCTAGTGATGGTGATTGAAAGTGATGATTCTCATAGCTAACAGCTTGAGGACAAGCTTGTTTGGAGGTCACTAATGAGAACTGTTGTGGTCACCTCATCTGCAAAAGGTTAAAAATCTTCTTAAAGACCTGTGAGCTCCTCTTCAGTGAATAGCAGCTGATGAGATATGTGAATGTCATCATTAAAACACACTGCATTAATTGGAACTCTTTTTTTCCTCCTTGTAGTGGTCATTTGTTGTGGCTACAATCACAGAAATTCCACCAGTTGCCTTTCTTCCCAATTTTGTTGTGCAGAGAAAGGTGTTAAAACCTCTACGAACCCAGACTGGAGGAACAATAATGGTAAGACACTTTTGAGTCACTTTTATCATATTTAAACTGGTTGCTCTAACACTATAAACCTGTGAGTTGTACTGTTTATATACAACTCAAGGCCTGTAGAGGGAAGTGGGTTAGTGCAGAGTCCTCAGCATGAATAAAGTTTGGTGGTGTTAGCAGCTGCCAAGGTAAAGGGCATACCTGGTGTCATGGTCTGTAGTTTGCAGGGAAGACAGTGAGGGTCAGCCTGGGCAGCAGTGATAGATGTGGCAGGACTTGGGCAAATACAGAAAATTCTGGGAATGGGAGGTTTTAAAATTGATAATACTGAAGCTTTTTTAAGCACATATTTCCCAAATGACCTTGGAACTGTATGAGAAGAGAAGGATGGTTTGGTTGCTCTTGATACTAGGTAAGTGCTTAAATTTTAAAATCATATCACTTTGCTCTATAATGATGTTAGTTTATCTACTTCTATTGTAAATCCTGCATAAGCAGCTCAGCTGAGCTCAAGTGAGATGTAGCCTGTTTCACCTGAGCAGAGCTGTGTTCTAATGAGGGAAAGGAGTGCTCTGCCCAGAAGAGCTGTGCCAGAGTCACCAGACACTTCACTTTGCCCAAGAATTGCTTTTAGTGATGTTGAGGAAATAGGAGGAAAGCAAACAGTTAATAGCTGGAGCCAAAAATGAGTTGTTTAAACCATGTATTGAGGAAAAGGTGCCTTTATAATTTTAAAGTGGGAACTAGTGGGATCGTTTCTGCCCTGTTTATCATTCCTTGTCTTAAAAGAGTTCAGAAACTCTATAGCTTGGTGCTGGAAATGGTACCAGTCCTGATTTCCCTTCACAGGCACTGGATTGTAACAGTTACATAAATTGAAGACAAATAATCCTATCTGAAAGGATTGATATTAGGGTACAGATAGATCTTTGTTGCATTTCAGGAACTCTTCCTGAAGGTAGCTGTTACAGTGGATGCATGTGAATAGGACTGCAGCCCATAGTGCTTTTTCCTCTATCTACTTGAAGCCAGTTATTGACCCTCTGTCCTGTGGGTTGGCAAACCTTTCACAGCACTTCCATGCCAGCTATGGGAATGTGATTTACTGCAGCTGCTAGATATCAAAGGTGAGTTAGGCCACAAATGAATGATAAAGGAATGGCATTATTTTCAGAAACAGGTTAATAGGTAGCTTCCTACGTCTGTCAGCAGAAATATACGTACTTAGTCATCCACACTGGAATCAAAGTCTCTCATTTTTAAATGTTTCCCTTTGTAAGTGTATCAAGAATTCATTAAAGACATAAATAATATAAAAAGCTCTTCTCTGGCTAGTGCATAAAAGGCAGTGCAGTACAGTGTTCAGAAACAATGGACAAGGTTGAATCTGTTTAAGTTTGACCTAGGAGAATGATGCAAGTGAGCCCAAAAGTTTGAGGAAGCAGTTGTGCAAGTGTTCTTTCCTTTCATGGGGCTGGTGTGAAGTTAACTGTTGCTGCTATCACTGTGTGTACAAGTGGATCTGGGCACTGTTAAGTTTCAGCCCTCTTGGGGTGAAATGAAAGTAGAGAGACAGTTGTTACCAGGTTTTAAGGCAAGATGGAATATCCCACTTTCCTGCTGTAGCTACATTTTTAATGAGAGAAATGAGAGAAGTGTATTCTTTACTAGAAAAAAACAGCTATTTCTTTCAGTGTTTTAGTACTCTGCTTTTAAATCTATGTCCTGTCCAGCTGCTGGGTTTGCCTGTATATAACTCTGCCAGTTGTTACCAGAAGTTAGTAGTGAAAGGAACAGAATGAGCTGGACAACTTGTGAGTAGGCTTAAATATCTGCTGTTAAGATTCAGAAGCATTTTATAACAGGGTGATTTAATTGTTTCAAGCATGTCATCTTAACTCCCTTTGTAATGCCTACAACACTGGTCAGAGGTACTTAAAACTCTGGAGCTCTCCAGGAACTTTGAGTAGATTATGGGGTGTGAGCTGTGTTGGAAACTGGTGTGTTTTATTCCTGGTAGTGGGGAATGTGTTATATGTAACAGAGCTCCTCATGGTGCTGTGAGGTTCTTGGAGTTGAAAAATGTCTGGACATAAACAGGCATGTGTTCATGTGTATGACTGGAGGAGAAAGTGAGAGTTGCAATCATAGCAGAGAAGCAGCAAAGGAAGGTTTCCAGTAGGTTTTTGAACAGGGAAATAGTAGAGGGAAAGATCAGAGTCGCCTCCTTGATGCTGGAATGGTCTGTGAAGTGTGCTAACTGCTTCTTATTGCTTTGAGCTGTTAAGTAAAAGAAGCCACTAGTTTCTTCCTAAATCATTAGGACCAATGTTAAACCAGCTTTAAAGGGCAATTTGAGTGTATGGGTTTGGAAAGAACATGCTGGGTTCTGGATAAAGCTTTAGATTTATCAGGATTATAGCACTAGGCTAAATAACAAAAAGTGGTACCTCCTTTAGTAGGTATGAACTGGCCAAAGCAGAGGTAAGAGAGAAGGAATTTTAGTTTCAGGTCATTCATATAGTTGAAGGGGCTTAGAAATACTTAGCTGTCACTCACAGACCAAGTTTTGCTGAATGGGGACGTGCACACTGTCATTCTGGGAGGTGGTCATGAGGCATAGAGGAACTAGGAGAAGTGAGAAATACTTGGGTAGTATCTAGAGTTCCCTAACACTGTACCTTTCTTATTTCTTGAGGGGTCTTGACAGTACCTCAGTGTGTGTGAAATCTGTTTCAACATGGTTCTACCTAGGCAATACTTTTATTTAGTTCTGTGATGTTTTTCATGATGCTTGTGTTCTCTTTAACTCGTAATGTGTGTTCACCAGTTAGAAATGTGGTCAGGTAGAAGGGACAACCATGAGGTGTTTGTTGTGTCTCATTCCTCCATGGATGCCATCCCTGGGCACTGCTGGATTGATCTTGATGCCATATGCTTTTATTTTGCCCTTTTTTTTGGTTCATTGTGAGGAAATAGGTGTGTTCTTTAAAGGCAATTTTGATTCATCAGACAGTTATATTTGAACAGTACAAGTCAGAAGTGCAACCTTGTGCTATTCTTGATGGACCTGTTAATCATGAGAATTCCTGTTGAGTCTCTGGACTTTTTAATGATATTTTAGCAGTATGGGAAGATTGGGTTTTGGTGAGGAATCCCTAGGAAGTGTGATAAATCACAGAGACTGTGCTTTCCCTCTGACTTAATGGGTTTAATAGTGCAGAAACTGCAATCTTTTCCCAAGATCTAATTTGTGTAAGTTAGCATGTCCCAATAGCTGTCCTAGTACTAAATTAGAACTGTTCAAAAGTAAGTATTGGTGAAGATTTCTCACCTGTCCAAACTTCCCTGTGTGTATGATGTGTAATATGTTCTTTCCATGCCTATGGACAAGAATGTTCTGGTTCTATGTGTTTCCTCTCTTATTTTTTTAGTTGTATTTAGTAATACCTTCATTATTTTATCACATAAGTTAAGGAACACTGAACTTAAACATTTGTTTGACTCTTTGTGGCTGAAATAAGTAAAAAATGTCATCATTTAAACCTTGTGTATGCAGGTTTGGTCAATGCTTTCCCTTTCCTGAATATCATTTGGGTGCAAAGGAGGCAAAGGTTTTCTGTATTGGAGGGCAAAGATTGGTGATATTCTATTACCAATAGTTCTATTCTAGCATTTCAAAATAAAAAATGACAGGACACTTCATATTGTAGCACCTGTCTGTCCCCATCCCCAGCTGGAACTATGTTAGTCTGTGTTTTCAGGATTATGAGTTTACATTCCTATTTTTACCTGAACAGGAAGAGCATGAGGAGATTCTTGCTCATTTGTTTTATTCTTCCCAACACTGTACTCTTCCAGTTTCTGTCACCTGAGAAGGAAATAGAGATGACATAGCAAATATTTATTTCAGCACATTCTGCTGAGGGTAGTTTTGTATGGCTCATGTTCACAGATCTGATTCAGAATGATCTCCAGTCGCAAAATACCTGAAAATTCCATGGGCATGTTAGAATGCCAGGAGGTAATTTGGGCAGGGGGCAGGCCTGCAGGTAAATGTTACCTTCATTCCTTGAGTTCTCATACTGATTTTATTTTATTTTTTTTAAGGCAGGAAAGCTTGCTGTGGATAGAGGCTGGGCCATCAATGTGGGTAAGTGCAAACATTAAATAAGGCCTGAAATAGTGTGAGTAACATCATTTTCATTTACATGATGTGTGTTCTGTTTATACCAACAGAAAGGGACTGGATTATGTTTAACTCAAGCCAACTCTAAGGGGAAAAAATGGAAAAAGTACTGGATTTGTTTTCTCATCCAGTCTTACAGTTCTATAATAAAATCTTTCAGGGATGGAACAAGAGAACTGGATAAAGACAGGTATTAGATATAAGGAAAAGTGTTTGGATCGAGGCAGCATGAATCAGATGGAGGAAAAATGTTTGGAGTAAATGTAAACATTTCAATAAAGTCTTTGTTTTCTTTAAAATTATAAACTAATTTTCATAGTCCTTATCATCAGCCAGTGTATGTGTTACAGCAGCTCAGGGGAAGGGTTGGTAGGCAGACACAGAGTTGTGCCAGTGAGTCTGTCCTTGGCTGTGCAGCTTCTCCTGAAACAGACTTGAATGAAAAAGTTATGAAGGACATAGTGAGTATAAATGTGCTTTCTGCTCATAGCAAATAGCAGTGCAAAGCCACTGAACCACTGAAGCAAGATTTTGTGTCGCATAAGCCTTAGCTTGTTGTTTTCATAGACCTCATCAGTTGTGGGATTTTTCCATTATTTCTTGCACGCAGCTGCTACAAAGTGAATATCCAGTACTGAAAATGAAATAGACATGAAAGACAAACCCCAAAGCCTGTCATATTTACTGATATAGAAAATGAACTTGTTAAGTTTCTTGCTCAGGTATTTCAGTGGGTTTCTCAGTAAACAAGTTCTGATTTATTATGTACAAAATCTGTTCTGGCTAGGGGGAGGTCTGGGGACTTTTCTCATGGAAAGAATGTGTGTTTATTTTCAGGAGGAGTTCTTGAAGTTTCTTTTGGGCTGAGTGTTTGCAAAAGACAATGGCATGTGCAAATAATAACATTATAGTTCTTAGTTTGGGTATATTTTTGGTATGTTTCTTGATGTTCAGCATAGAAAAGAACTTTCCAGATCCTTTCCACCTGCCCCATAACATTACTTGTGCCTGCCATGTAAGTGATCTCTCTCTTTGCAAATGTCATCTGTGTTTTCAGTGTCTAGCTTTTCTTTAGTATCTACCTTTTCACCTCTTCACCATTTTTCTGTTTAGGGGGTGGCTTTCATCACTGTTCCAGTGACAAAGGTGGAGGGTTTTGTGCCTATGCTGATATCACACTGGCTATTAAGGTAAGAACTACTCTTAAACCAGCATTTTCTGCTGTTTGTGAAAATGGAGAAAAAATGCACAGACATTCATATGAATTAATTTACATCTTAATAGGAGAAAATGAAGCCATCTCCAGATGGGCAGGAATAGGAATCCGCAGTGTGGTGAAGTGGAAGGGAAGAGTTGCAGGGGTCAGAATTACCAATGTAAATATGATCCACTACAATTGCATTAATAATGTTGTCTTGCAAAACCCACTCCAAATCAAACAGATGGACTTTTAATATCCTCAGCGATAATTTTCCTGGCCTTGCAGTTGAACCTGAATGTTCCACAGTAGTGTCAGTGGTTACAATAATGCAGAGGCAGAAACCCTCTCTCCGAAGCAAGCTGCACTACACAGTGCTCACACTGGTTCAGATTCATGAATAAAAATGTGAATGACTGTAAGATAATCTGTGAATGTGAATGAATGCATTTGGTATTTAGCTGTTGAAAGGCTGAAGTAAGAGCCTTCTGCAATTAGGGCTTATTTTTATCAAATGAACTGTGGTATATTTGTATACTAGAATATTTATAAAGTATCAGTAATAATCAAACATTAAAGAGCTCTAATGATTGCAGCACACCATATGACATAACATCCTAATTTCTGTACATGGTAATTTGCAGAAAAGTAATCCACAGTGTTCTTTTTTCCCCTGCCATTAGAAGGCAGATTGAGAAATTATAGTGGGTGACAGTTTGTACAGAATCTTTGGGTTTCACCCTGTCTGCATTAAAGATAGTCACTTGTCAAAGTTAAGACTCAAAGAATTAAAAAACGTTGTTATTCCCAGACATGAAATAAGAAATGTATTCTGTTACTAAAAGTGGCTAATGCATACAGTCCCTGCAGCAGCTTTGCCCAAGTGGTGAATTTTAGGCTTTTGCAGTGGGATGCCATCATAGCAGATTGTTCTCCCTTCCTGCTGCTGAGCCTCACTTGTGCTGTCTGTGTGTTCTGGGTCCTGGGCAGCTCTTCTTTTACTCTTAAACCTTTCTCCACGGTGGCACTGGTTCCACTCCAGCTTCTGGCAGCACCAATGCCACCGTCAGCTCTGATCCCTGCTTGGGCCTGGCCTTTCCACCCAGCTGCTGTGGGATGTAGGGATGTACCAACCAGGCCTGTGTAGAGCCAGGACTACAGCACAGGGGTTGGTACCCTGAGCTCCATTGCATTACTTGGTGCCATTGGGCTTGTGCCTCCTTGGTGGAGTCTGCTTTACAGGTTAGTGTGGGATGCTGTGCAAAGACATGTCCCTGATCCTATGTGTAGAGAAAGAGTAGAAATCTTCCTTCTGCACCAACTTTCCGTATATAGGCAGATACCTGCACAGCTGAATGGGACCAGCCTTAAACTGAAGGAGGGCAGTTTTAGATTAGAGATTGGGAAGAAATTCTTCCCTGTGAGGGTGCTGAGGCACTGGCACAGGGTGCCCAGAGAAGCTGGGGCTGCCCCATCCCTGGAAGTGTTCCAGGCCAGGTTGGATGGGGCTTGGAGAAACCTGGGCCAGTGGAAGGTGTCCCTGCCCATGGCAGGAGGTGGAACTGAATGAGCTCTAAGGTCCTTCCAACCCAAACCAGTCTGTGATTTTACAAGTGAAATACATGTTTCATGCATTCAATCTGATGGAAATGTATAAGGGTTTTTTTATTGTGCAACCACAAAAAATGTATATCTATGTCAAATAACTACAGCTTTGTAACTGAATGTATTAGAATCTCTTAGCAGTTTATTTGGTGACTGAGAATAGCTACACTACATTCAAACCAGAATAGTAATACATTGTGCAAGCTTCAACCCTCCAGTTTAATGTCATCTAACTGCATCAATTTCTCCATGTTTTTCTTTGCTTGTATATCCAGTTCTTATTTGAAAGAGTACAAGGGGTGTCTAAAGCCACAATTATTGATCTGGATGCTCATCAGGTGAGTAGTTTACCTGTAGTCAGTGCTGCAGATGTTTTGCTTGAAATACAAGTGTGTGATAAATACCCTTTTTTCATACTAGTGTACAGTGTCAACTCACAGAATACAAAGGTAATCAGAGGTCTTGGAAACTGGGAACAGTTTAGTCGTTTAATTTTTTTATCATGCAAAAGGCTCTGAGGCCAGTTTAATAAAATTAAGCTGAGTTGTAGCTCCATCATGTGGCTGATGGAAAAACATTGCTGCGTTGCATCTACGGCCTCCAGAGACCAGGAACAGGGATCCCAGTTTGCTCAGCACCGTGGTCACTGCAGCAGCCTCTGCAGGGAGGAATTTGACCTTCAGTGGTTTAATGCCAAGCCTGGCGTCAGGCTGATGAAGGGGTCCATCCCTCTTCACCTGGTGAAGTGATTTGCTGTCAGCACTGGGATCAAATCTCAGCTTTGGTAGGATTTGCCAAATAAATCCTGAAAGGACAGAAATTATATATTTAGAAAAGCAGTTAATGTACCAAAGGGATGTCCTGTCTGAAGCATTTAACTAGTTTCTTAGTGTAAAGAAACCATTCTACATAGCTCCGTGCCAGTGAGGAGTCCTAATGGCAGCAAGTTTTTCATGTATCAGCTTTCTTATCTGCATCCCTTACTATCAGGATACAGATTATGCAACAGAAGGATGTTTGTGTTCGTGATTCTCTTCAGCCATCTCTGTCAGGGTGTGGGTTTGGTTTGTGCTTTTTTGGGGGTGGTTTCTGTTTTGCTTCTTAAACATTCTTGCAATGTATTTTGGGTTTCACATGTGCTGGTAACCTCAGCCTGCACATGGAATCCCCTCTCCTTTCCTTTCTTTGGGGAATGGGAGGTGCATGAAGCAGTAGCTGAGCAGAGCCTGTTTAAGCATGCAGAGACTCATCTTCTGACTCTTCCAATTCCTAGTGCAGTGGAGAGTTTCACCTTTCGTAAGAAAATGGTTCACCCAGAGGCTTTCATATTCCTAGACTTGTGTGCATGAACTCTTTATTTGTAGACCAGAGATGCTGAAGAAATAAGTAGGAGATGCCATTTTTAGCATAAAACCTGAATTACAGAAGATACATCTGGAAATGTCTGTTTCTGTAGTTTAAATGAAACTCTTCTGGATGTAGGGGCTGTGGTCATGTGTGGTACACTGATTTAAATAAAATTGTCTTGATGATTGTTGGGAAAAAAGTGGGATTTATATTTGTGGGAAAAGGTCTAAAGAGCCCAAAGGATAGTATTTAAATTCAGAAACAGGCTGAGGGAGCTATTCAGAATCTGCTTTCTCTTAAGCATCTGTGTTTACACCCAGCACAATTTTTGGTAAGGAATTTCTGGTATTAAACAAAGTGTTAAACTGTTTGGTCTTTAGTGTTTGTGATTTTTCCAGGGTTTACTTATCTCACCAAGGCTTGAGTTGTCAGAAGAGCTGTTGTTTGCTTTATTTATTAATTAATTCTTATATAAGTATGGGAGTATCTCTGCAGCAATTGAAAGTGACTTTTTCTTGCACAGTAGGAAGATGACAGATATATTTGGTGGTCACAGTTGCTTTTGGGATGCTGCTGAGGACAATTACCTCCTAATTTTTGCTTATTGTTCTTACATGCATAATGAGATCTGTACTAATTACCTTCACAGAGATATAGGGGTGTTGGTTGTGATAATTCCTGCAGTCTTCTGCCTGATACTCTGTCCAGGCCCCCAGAATTCTACACCCCTGAATAACCTTCAAGACTATAAATAAGAGAATGACACAGGAGTTCTGAGTATCAGAACTTTGTAGTGTTAATTACTCTGGAATCTGCAGTGTATTTCATTCTGTGTTGGTATGCTAGGAATAGCTAACTGTAAATTTCCTTCAGGGAAATGGCCATGAGAGGGACTTTATGGATGATCCTCGGGTCTATATTATGGATGCATACAATAGATATATTTACCCAGGGGATGGGTTTGCTAAACGTAAGTATGATTGAAATTCGTATTCCAAAATGTAAAAGAGCTTCTGTGTTGTTACATAACTTTTCCACTTACTAATAGTCTTCCTTGCACCAATGGTAACTAGGGGGTTTTAGGTTTTTTTGGTTTTGTTTTTTCATTTCACATCATTTTCAATGATCTCTGTGATATATCACACCAGTGGTAACACTGTAGTGTTTTCACTCACTTCTGGAATGAATTCCTCGTATGCAGGGTGAGGAATTTTGTCAGCAATCTATTCTCATGCCACATTTGGAGTGGTGAGTTAAATAACCCCTTGATTTGAAGAGAATTGTTAGAACTTAATCTTTCTCTTACACTACATTTATGAAAGAAGTCACTGACGATTAGCTAATACTCTGTAAAAAGGTTTCATCTTCTTTTGAAAGTTACAAACTATAGCATATTTAGGTGTTGTCTTGCCAGCAGAGCTTGTTTGATAAGCATCTAGAAAACAAGGCATATCTGGATGTGAAACAAGCTGGGAAGCAGAAAGAAGTCATGGAATAGAACCATAGAATCAGTAAGGTTGGAAAATCCTTCTAAGATCAGAGTCCAACTGCTCCCCCAGCACTGTTAAGGCATCGCTAATGTGTCCCCAAGTGCCACCTCCATACTGTCAACCCCTTAGGGATGGTGACTCACCCCTGCCCTGGGCAGCCTGTCCTGTCAGAACAATGGCTAGAGCTGCTGCTTGATTTTTTAAATTTTTTTTTCCATTGTGGTTTGTTTATCCCTGCTGTGATGTGCCGACTGTGTCTTGTGACCTGTCACAAATAATTAGTAGGATTTTGATAATGGTTAAATTGGAATGCAAAAGCCCAAAGTTTATTTGATCTTTGGTTCTGTTACACTGGCATTTGGCTTAATTTGTTCACTGAATCAGTTTGTTGAAGGAGATGCTCTGCTGTTGGATTTCGTCAGTGATCCTGCCATTCTGAAAACCTTACTTCACTTGGATTTTTGGCAGGAATCAGGTGCAGTGCATTGCACTGATCATTTTTTGACTAGTAAAGATTTTGAGAATTGTAGTATTTCAAGATATTAAGCTAAAAAATGACCATTTACAGCACTTGGTATCTGTAGGCAGAAAAATGACAAGCAAGGGCATTTTTTACCCCCAAGAAAAGCATCCCTTTATTCATATATCACATGTCAACATTTGAACAGATGGATTAAAACCAAAACAGTAAGTCCTTGTTAGCAAATCTGAAACGCTGAACTGAGCCCTCCTCTGGGAAGCTGGGAATATCAGCATTCTCTTTGTGCAGATGAAGGATGAGGCTGGGCCGAAGGCATATGAATTAATACACATGTAGGTCCTTATAGTTTGGATAAGAATGTCTAAATAGGAGTTTTGTGGCTAGATCCTTTAAACTCTTCCTGGAGGCAAAGATGGGATCACAGAGGGAATCTCTTCAAAGAGAGGTAGAGGCTTGAACCTGAGTGTTTGAATCCTTAGGATAAACTCTTAACTGATCACTGTCTCCTTGGACCTGCTACTCATTTTTTCCATATTTCATTACAGGAGCTTCTTCTGCACATCTTTTGCCCCATGCACTTCATTAGGGAAGGAGAAAACAAAGAGACTAGTTCTCATTGCCTAATGCTTAGCCATAGGCATATTGAGTCCCTAAGGTGAAGTAGTTTGGAGTTACACAGGAAGAGAAAGGAGAATATGGATGGGGAAAATGCCTAGTTCACTGAAGGCTGAGCAAACTCAAAATTCAGACTGTAAAAAAGCATTGCCCTTGATCTGAGTGCCATTTCTCAAAGCTGTAGGAGTATATTCACTATTTAGAAGGAGAGGGACAAAAGGCTATGAACACATGCCAAAGCTGTATTCATCCTGCCCCCGAGCACATCCCTGCATCCCTCAGTGCTCCCTGCTCTGAATATCGACTGATCATTGCAGTCCTGTGTTTGTGCTGGAGGTGAAGACAAGAGGCCTGCAAAGGCATATGAAATCTTAGTCACCATCTTTCAACTTCTTATGGCTTTATCAGAACAATACTTGTTTGTTCCCCATGCTAATGTGTTGCCTCCTCCTCTACAGCTCCATCCAGCTAGCAGATTTTTTACCCTGAAGAGTTTCTAAGTGCCCTTCAGAAGAGCACAGCTGTGCAGACTTACAGGAACATTTATATAATAGTAAGAAAAGAATTCAGGAAAATACCATAAAGAAACAAAAATCTTTGCAGCTAATGTTGATGCAATAAAATAAAGGAAATGAAAAGAATGCTTCACTGATTCTGAACAAGGATGAGAGCAGAAAAAAACACCCCTACCCAGCAATCATGAGTAATTAAGAGTCATTCTGTGTTGAATGCATTCTTGCACACTTGGTGCTGAATCTGCTCTTAAGATGTAAGGCTTGAAGCCATTTAATGGAGGCAGAGGGTGTGGTGTGGTACACCTTGTACCTTGGAATCTCTCTGACATAGATTTGACTAATTTAGATGTAGAGTTACACATACCTCTGTAAAAGCACCCAAACCTAGGCTGCATAACCTTGGGTTTCTTTCCTTCATTTTGTCAGCCCTTCCCCTTCTATTGCTTTGTTAGAAGCATTAGAAATAATTTGATTTAAATTAAGACTAGATATTTGCTCTTCTGGTAGGATTACAGGGTAAGAACACTAAATTGAAAATGCTTGGGGCAAAGCTGAATCTTGTTATACATTCATAAAGCAGTTCACATAAATTCATGATCCCTTGCTGTGAAGTTTTGAGTGTAGTGATAAAAATAAAACATCTTCATAATTTCTCAGTGATATTTATCTTGGTTTTCCCCCAGCTGTTTCCTCTGCAATAGCAGTTCAGTGTTGTCTTTCCCTTATGCTTTATTTAGGTTGCTTTTATGTTAATAATTTTCTTTATGATTTCTCTGCTGATTGGTAACTGGACATGTAGATCAGCTGCTTTTCAATAACATTTTCCACTTGCATCTCAGAGATTATTTTTTTCCTCTGCATCTAATTTTCTCTCTTCAATGGAATTTTTTCAAGGTCATTGTGCTTACATTTCCTGGGAAAACAAGTGGTTGAATCATTTTCTTTAATTCAAGGTTCTGGTACTGAGAACTTCCAGAAATGTAGTTTTTCTTGCTGGTTTACCTAAATCTTGCACCTTGTTTCCAAGCAATGCTTTGTTTATGGAGTGATGGTTGGTTTGTTTTCTTTCAGGTGCCATAAAACGCAGAGTGGAGTTAGAGTGGGGCACAGAGGACACAGAGTACCTTCAGAAGGTACATACTCATGTGGAAGGAGCCCTGAATGAACTAAAGCCTGACATCATTGTTTATAATGCTGGGACTGACATTCTGGATGGGGATCCCTTGGGAGGACTTGCCATTTCCCCTCAGGTTTGTATGATAAATGCCCACAGCCTCACTAGGGACTGCAGACAGGTCTCAGTGCCTGGTGGCAGTTTGTTAGCTGAAGGTAAGGTGTTCACTTCAAGCTCAACCAGAGCATTTTACTGTGCAGACACATAGATCCATGTCCCTTGCTCTTTCACCTTTATTTTTTCCTTGTTGTTTCCTCCTGGCTCTAAAGATTTTTGTTCTTCAGGTTGCCTGTTCCAGTATCATTCATCTTCTCTCTAAAATGCACTGGTTTTAAACACCCAGACATATATTTTCACACTTCACCTGACTTGTATTTTTCCTGTATGCTTTGATCTTTCTTGGTTTCTTTTTCCCCTCACATAACCCATTTTGCATGTGTTTCTTTTGTCACCTGCCCTCAGTACGTATCTTACACTTAATTTCCTCAGTAGCACTCCCAGCTGTTTTCAATTGCCCTTCTAGTATCTTCCAGTTCTAACAATTTTGTGCAGCCTGTCTGTGTATTCCTGGCAAATGAACATATATTTGCTTTTTCCTGATTTTTTTCTTTACAGATATCATTTACCTTCTCTCCCCATTTTGCTACCAGACTTAAATTTTGATTTATTCTATGCAGCTTCATAGAAAGTCTTCACCTTCCAGATGTAACCAGGCTGCTTCTCTCAAAATAAACATGAATCTACAGATCTCCTGTTTCCTCCATGTTTTTAACGATTCCTTCTCTGACAGTTCGTCTGTGCTATGTCTCTCTGGTTTCACATTTGGATCTCTTTACTGGCCACCAGTTCAATACAGATAAGTGCTTGCTTGATTTGTGAGCTCTCAGATTCCCCTCTAGTCAAGCCACCACTAGATCTCTTCAGTTTTCATTCTGTTTTGAAGCACTCGAGTTCTCTTGCCCAAAGAAATAGCTGAGGGGCTTGGACTTACTTGCTTTTGACCTTGGAGAGGATGTGACCTAAGGTGTAAGATCCCATTTGGTGAAGCAGAGCTCTTTGGAGTGCAGTGGCCACCAAAGTTAAGGACACCTTGGTGATAGGTGGAGAATACTGTGAGATTTGCCTTTTGGAAAAACATACATTTCTGCCCTTTGAGAAGGAGCAGTGTTAAATGCCAAGAAAAATGAGTGGCTGTAGCTTGCTGGGTGCTGTGTTGAGAGAATGAAAGGATGTAAGGAGGGGAAAAGGTTGAAATGGCTTTCCTGGTCACAAAGGCAGAGGGTGCCATTTCTCTGCACAACCTGATGGAGAGGTTTCTGCAGCTCAGACCTTTGCTGTCTGAACTCAGGGCAGGGTTTCTTGTCTCTCTGTTGTGTAGGTGCAAGGGCATGTTGCACCAGGTTTGAAGTCCCATGCTGTGGGAAAGGGTGAAGCTGAAGGCATTGTGTCTGGGTGGTTCATCTCTTCAGAGTTCCTTTGTCCAGCCTTCAGTCCTGCACCTGAAGATTTCATTCATATTCTAAGCTCTTGCTACAGTGTTAGTTCTGCTCAGAATCAGGCCTCCTCAGACTGCTCTGAGGGATGGTTTCTGGTGCTTGAGGCTGCAGCCAGAAAACCTGTGGTGTAGCAGCTAAGTCCCTCTTACCTTTGTAAGTGGGAACTGCGCAGGGCTGTTGTTCTCATTTGTTCTGTTTTCTTTCCTGGTAACACAGAAATGTGGGAGTAAGCCACATATCAGTTCCTCAGCCTCCAGAGGTGCTGGAGCAGGGATGAGGCAGTGAGGCTCCTGTGAATACTGACTGCTTCCAGTTCTTGTCCAGTGCTGCATCCAGTGATGGGTCCCACAGGACCTACAGCTCAGTCTGTAATTCTGCTGCTTCCTTTAACGATCTGTTTCTAATAGAATTCTTGAGTTTCCTTTGTCTTACTCTTCAGTTCTTACTCCTCACCCCCACTGTACTTTCCCAGGGCTGTGTCAAACTGTACAATAAACAGTACTGTTATATGCTTCTGCAAAATATTATTTTCAGTTGCATTTGTATTTTATTCTTCCCCTTTGCTGCCTGTTTGTGCTCTAATCAATGGCAGGGTAATACTTCTCGATATATTTACAGCCTTCCTTTAACCAGTCTGAGTAGTACATAGTCATTTTGTAACACTTTTGCTGCTGCTTCCTAAATTTTTTTTTGTATTTGATTGTGTTGTAATCCCTTTTCCCTTCTCCAGCTTTGCAGTTACGTAAGTTCTGAGCTGTCCATTGTAAACTGTTGTCTGTCATGCTACTGCCTGTTGTTTGTGAGGTGTTGTAATGGGTTATGTGTGCCTCTTGTGTATCTCTGGAACTATCTGCTTTTACTTTTGCCACAAAAGTAGATTCTAATTCTCTTCTCACTTATTTCTGAAGTATTTTTCCCACATGTACTTATTTGAAACCCAGAAGGCTCAAACTCTACTGTTGTTTGGGTTCAATGACAGTACAGTACCTCTTGGTCAGCAATTCCATACATTCTTTTATTGAGAAATTATTTAGAATTTATGTTCTTTTTATATGGATTTACAATTGCTTACATTCTTCAACTCTCCCTTCAGCCAGAGATTCCTTTGGCATTAACTACAGGCTTTTATTAAAGAAATTGGAATGGGCAATTCAGGCAGTCATTGTGAACTTGTAAAATCTGACTTGAATTTTTGGTTCCTCTGTAGGGTTGTGAAATCTTGATCAAGCTCTAAAGTTTTGTCAGGGACTGCTGTGCAAATTTAGCACGAACTAAGGCACTTTGAATTCAGACAATCTCTCGTAAGTCTCAACTCCTCACCTGGAAAACAGGGTGAACATTGCTAAACTTTGTAGTCAGTTTGGATTTCATGGCCTTTGACCAGGAATTCTTCCAGGAATTTATACTCAAGGCTAAATTATACTAATTTATCTGTTTCCTCCTCTAAAACAAGTCAAAGATTTTTGATTCGCTGTTTGGGGTGGTTTTGTTTGGATTTTTTTAACAGATTGTGCCTATAAACCAGCTAACAGGACTTTTACAGGAATGTTTAGTTCCTGCTGTAAAATGTTAGGCTTAATCAAACATCCAATACCATAAATCACAGGTTAGAACTAAAGCATCATGTTCCTATCACTTTTTTTTCCCTTGTAACTGTTACAAACTTGCAGGGAATTGTGAAGAGAGATGAGGTGGTGTTCAGGGCTGCCAGAAGCCGCAGGATCCCCATCCTGATGGTGACATCTGGAGGATACCAGAAGAGGACAGCACGGATTATAGCTGATTCTATCCTCAATTTGCACAGCCTGGGACTCATTGACAAGGAGCTAGCAGCTGGTGGAGTTGGAAATCCCAAGGTAGAACAGATGATCAGAGACTCTGCTAAGGACTTAAGCAACTTGTCACTGCAATGATAAGTTACTAAATTTTAGGGAATGCATTCCTGTTTTAGGAGCAGAAAGTCTCCACATCATTATCAGGGTTAATAAAAAGGCTCACCTTACAGAATTCCAGAATGGTTTGGGTTGGAAGGGACCTTCAAAACCATCTTGTTTCACCCTGTGCCATGATCAGGGGCACCTTCCACTAGACCAGGTTGCTCCAAGTCCCATCCAAACTGGCGTTGAACACTTCCAAGGATGGGCCAGCCACAGCTTCTCTGGGCAACCTGTGCCAGTGTTTCACCACCCCCATAGCCAAGATTTTCTTCCTAATGTCCTATAAAATAACCCAGTAGAGATAATATGCAGTCACAGAGTAACTGTGTCTAACTCCTGAATTTATCTTGAGCAAAGGCAACACATCCTTTAAAGCTAATGAAACATACACTCAAGGGTACTGTCTTTCAGTGTCTACCATTGCTGTAGAAAGCTTTAATTGCTTCTCTGTTTGGTGTGGGTGTTCTCTTACGTTGAAAAGATCTATGCAGCTGGTATCCAAAGACTGTCCCAGACCTGTGTCAGATGGTGTATCTTGGTCTGTGGTGCAAGAAACATAGACTAAACCTACTGGCTGATTTTACTTTTTTTTATTTAGATTCTGCATTTTTTTATTGCTTTCTTAATTGAGATATTGTAAAATGAGTTCTGTGCAGACTTCAACTGTCAGTTTAACACTTTAACACTAAAGTGAAGTGCAATACTGTAAAACCCAGTGCAGCTGGTAGGCTCTGAAGCCATAGCCTAATGAACTGAAGGTTCATTAATTAGTAGTTTATTCCTGTGGTTCATAGTGACTTAAATCTTGCTTAAAAACATCTTGAGAAATAGAGTACAAACACCTTTGGCTCATGTACAAATGAACCATAAAGGCACAACATCAACACTCTGGTGTTTGCCTCCTTTAAAATGAGCCCTGAATGTGAAAGGCCAATAGTTACTATGCATTTTAACTCATGAAGTAAAGAAATGACAGTCACATGGAAGCTAATGTTAGAGTTCTGGGAAACCTTGCAGAAAAAGCTGTGTAGAAAAATAGGGTATCTGTTATCATTGCCAGCTTGTCATGTGTGAAACAGAGGAGTACATTTACTTTATTTTTTTCTCCAACTAGTGCTGTGTTTTTGACTTGCTCAGAGAGTAATGGTACTTCTAGTTGCAGTCATAGTTGGTAAGCAAATTGTTCATTATCATTATTCATCTAAAAATAAAGTGAAATCTCTCCTTTTACTTACTGTGCTAACTTCATATGGAGCTTCTAGGAGGATCTGGGAACAAAATAGTATGTTCAAAGCAAATTCAGTGCACTACCTGTAAAGTTTGGTGTTATTTAAGTTGGTGTACTTTGCATTAGGTACTGTGTGTAGCAGTGGGTTATAAATGTAGTAAGCTGTAAATTTTGCAAGAGCTTTTATAACTTCCAAGTATTCGCTGATTTGTACTACGAGTTTCACATCATGTTTAGGTTTGAGCTTTCCTATGAAGGAGCACCAAGATTTCCCTCATAGTAGAGCTGCTGTGTAAGCTAGTTAAGGAATGTTCAATGCTAGCCATAATACCTCACCTAGTGTCATTGTTTAGATCCATGGGGTTTGTCAATTGTAAGAACTTGCACAATTGCTATAAATAGCTGCTTTAAACCAGATTTGACACATTGCACTAAGCTTGAGTTGTACACTGGGATTAAAAAGCACTTTTCAATTTCTTACTAGAAGGACCATCCGAGTACGACTAATGCTGAGATTTATTTTTTCTATGCTGTCTAATGTTATGGAAAGATGTTCTTTCATATAATTTTTATAAAATTATGAATTACATTTCTATAAACTAACTCCCTGTCATCACACCATATGGTCTCTTCCTAAACATTTTCTGTTTGTGTTAACATGTTTCTATTATTTTCCCTCGGTGGAGATTAAAATGATGTTGAACAATGCCTGACTGACTTTTTTTTTTCACTTCACATGGATCTTGGCTGGCAAAAACTTTGACTGGAATAGTTTCCTGAAGACAAGATGATGTATTTTTCATACTTTATAATGTAGCTGAAACTGCAGTGAGTCTCCAGGGTGAATGGTACAAGGTTTGTCAACAGCTTCTCTGAGAGTTTCTGTGGTTATTTCTTAAAGGGAACTTGAAAGTTTTGTATCCAAATACATTTCAAGATGTCATCATAAGAGCTGTAAGTTCCTTTCTAATTCTAAGTTAAGTTTCATAACCTATATTTTAATTCCTATTTTAAATATTAGATATTATATCATTCATGGTTAACATACTGTTATCACTGGGCAAAGCTCACTGACCATTTCATTGTGGGGAACCTTCCCGTGACCACCGTCAAAATCTGTAGCTTTGACAAAAACCTTTGTGGAATGCAAAGACCTCTGTGGGCCTGCAAGGGGAATGCCATGGAGTTACAAATTTTATGGGGAAAAATGTGGAGGTTGGGGGGGGGGGTTGTTTGTTTTTTAATTGCAGTTGTGATGATTAAATCCTGCTATAACTGGAGGAATGTTTCAGAAGTGATACCTTAACCCACCACTAAACTATCTTGAAGAAAGACCTGGTAGGTCTTGTCTTTCATGATACAACATTAGTTTTGACTCAAATTACTTGAGAAAGAAGCAGTGAGGATTTTCAACAACTAATAGTTCCCATACAAACATGCATTTCTCGCTAGGAATCCATGTGTGAAATTATTTAAAGAATAAACTGAGGAGTTGGTGTTTTTCTGTTGGATTTACAGTTGGCATGTTGAGCCCCAAACCCCCCTTGCCTGCCTGGCAGTCAACACACAGTGTAGAACTTGGCACTAAAACCACTTGGTGTTGTGGTCAGAGTTTTATACTGACTAAATTTAGCTGTAGATGGTAATATCAATCTCATTCACACAGAAGGTATGACCCATTTGTTTGACTTTGGGGTTTGTTTTTTTTACCACCGTGCATTGTGCAGGCCCAGATTTGTATTATGAATATGAGATCCTGTAGACAGACAGCTGTGATTAAAAAAAAAAAAGATTAAAAACATGAATTGGTAGACAACTTGGTGAGTGAGTGGAGACAGGTAGTGCTTAAATTTGGTGAAGGATGAATGTCCATGCTCTCAGGTTCCCTGCTCCTTGCTGCTTGTCACAGCTTGAGGAACCAAATGACCCTGAAATCATCCCCCGGTACCTTCTGGTCCTGTTCCCAAAGTTCAGCAGTGGTTCTGCCTCCTCCTGCACACACTACAAGGCACACAATTCTTTTCAGTGCTGGTTGCATATGGGTTTTTTTGTTGTCTGTGCAGTGACACTTAGGAATCTCTTGTACTTTACAAACTGTAATGCACAGTTGTGTCCTACATGCTCCACAGCCACTTTGAGGAGAACATTCACTGACAAACCCAGAAGTTATGAAGTTAGTAATCTTGGACCTAGACTTTGCTCACACTGTGCTGCCAGAAGCTTGCTGAGCTCCAAAAGCTGCAGGCTCTAGGGTCTTGGTGCTGTGTACTAATTTTGGAATAATTGGAAACATTCTTCTTCCAAGAAAACTGTAATCCCTTGGTGAAGAAGAAATTTCACTTGCTGTTTTTGCCCAGTGGAAGATGATGTCCCCCATACCACCGGCTGACTCTGGAATGCACAGTGTATCAGCAGCAATAACAGCGAATCATGGAAACACAGACTGGTTTGGATTGGAAGGGACTTTCAAGACCATCTTGTTTCACCCTATACCATGACTAGGGACACTTTCCACTAGCCCAGGTTGCTTCAAGCCCCATCCAACTTGTCCTGGAACACTCCCGGGGTGAGGCAGCCACAGCTTCTCTGGGCAACAAAGGGCTTAATCCCAAGTGATGCTGTGACCTGAGCTTGCTTTGCATTAAGCACAGATTGTGCATTCCTCAGCCATTCTAGGAGCAAGCCTGCAAGTAGCTCAGTATGTGCCAGCCTTTAGCTTAGGCGTCAAGTAGGTTGGATTTTCAGGTTTTGAGTCTTTTCTGGATCCTTAGATTTTAGTTCTCATCTAACTTTATTATTTTCTCCTTTAGGCAGATCATTCTGCTACAGCTAGTTACTTGTTACTGAAGAGGAATAGAATTAATTCTTCCTGAAAAGAGATGATGTTTTGGTAAACTGTGTGAAAGACTAATTCCTGTTCCTAGCCAGATCTTCTCTGAGGCAGTGAGAATAGGAGGCTGGCTTTGCTCAGTGCTTGACTTCATGCAAGTACAGTGTGGATCCTTAGGACAAAGCAAATAACTCCTGCCCTGACTTCCTGCAGCATTTGAGTGTGCAGTAATGCTGTGTGCTGCACATAGTACTGACTTACTGACATTCAAGTCAGAATTGTGTGGTAGGCCAAAAATGTCCTTTTGATGGAATTGGCACAGGAAATGATCATGGTGGGTCTGTGGTTCTGGTTTACCAGCCTGGTACAGCTCTGACCTCCCTCCCTTAGCTTACCTGAGGTCGAACTTCTGGTTGGAGATGAACTGAATACAAAAGTCATGAAAAGACTGCCAGGCACATCTTGTGTTACCAGTACTGCAGTGTTTTGCCAGTGCTGTGCTCTGTGGAGACGTGGCACACTTCCATAAATCACTTCTTCCTCTAGAAGTAACACTACAGATAATAAACTCTTTGCTGTCAGATATAATGCTCCAGCTATATACTTCACTGATAAGTTCCAAACACTTGTTTTATTTTGCAGTTAAGAGCAGGCATACTTTGAGCTTGACTGGAACTGATTATTCTGAGATGCATGTTTGATTTGTGTAAAAAAAGATGAAAAAAGGGGAAAAATGTATTCAAGGCTGACCTAAAATATTGCATCTTGTCTTATAGTGTCTTGAATCCTTAGTAGAATTATAACAGATTGCAGTGCTTTGTAAGAGCAAAGAGATGTCTCCTTCCTTTTGCTTTTGACACTTAAATATTTTAATTAATCCTCTTTGCCAAGAGCTTATCATTTTGGCTGTGAATACTT